TTTTTTTTTTTTTTTTTTTTTTTTTTTTAAGGACTATAATCGATGACACGTGTAAAACCATCTGGCAGAAAAATTTGGCAACGAATATTTTGGAATTACATGTTTGAATTATATGTCTTTTATTCACTGTTCCATGACTGGCAATTTCATTTTTGGTAATAATCTTTAAATAACAACCCTTAAATAAATCGATAAATAAAAAAAGGAAACGGTCTTGTAAAAGAATTCTTTAAAATATTTCGTATAGTGGTATTTCATATTTCATAAAAAATTACCTGAGAATATTATTGAGAATAGTATTTGTTACAGGAAATTAGAAAATAAGGATTCGTTTTCTATTTACATATTTATTTTTCATAATAGTTTACCCAACACCTTAAACGACGATGATCATTAAATATATTCATCCACGGACATAATAACGTCATCATGTCGCTCCATTAATTCTCCTCGGAAGCCATGGGTTCGTTTCCTGTCCTCTTTTTTCGTTTCCATATTTCGTTGTCAACACTTGTCGAAAAAAACGAAACGAAAGTGAAAAAAAAGTAGCCGAGCTTTTAAATATTTTTCTAATCGAAACTCTTTTTAATAATTTTTAATAATTTTTATAAACGTACTCGTCCGACGTGTCCTTAGAATAACCAGCCAGAGTTCGCCAGAGTTCTCGTGGTCCTTCTATCGCGAGAGGAAAGTGTTGCCACGACCAATCTATCAAAAAAAAAATGTAAATTGAATTAAATTTTTTGTTGTTTCAATTTTACTGATTTTAAAGAAATTTGTTACCATCAACCGATGGATAATCCACGCGCCTTTTTATAGGTCTTGAAAAGGGTTCGTCGACAGAATATTGCGGCCAAGATTCAGACTTGAAAAATACAAAGGAAAATTTAAATCAAGCTTGGAATTGTTTATTTCAATCACCACTACCTGAGCATCGTGGCTTCCAAGTTTTGGAAAATTTTTTCGAGATTTAAAGAAATCGTCGTAACCTTCGCTGCGTCCCACGCGAGGAATATTCTTTGCGATTTTCAGGAAGAAAGCAGGCACTTCATCGGCCGTCGAGGTATTTTCACAAATTAGCAATGCCAAAATTGCGATCCAGATGGCTAGAAAATTTAAAGAGAAATGTTTAAAAAATCAACTCAAGAAAACTATATCGAGCCTCACCGATTAGGGAAAGAACGAAAGAAGGGAAGACACGTATTTCAAAAGAAAAAACTCACCAACATCAAAGAAAACGGGATATTCCAAAAGAACTCACCACCAACGAGGAAACAACGCACGAATCCCAAAAAACGCAAACTTGTCATGGTCTCGCTTCGGATCTGCAAACGAACCGATCGAATCCCCAATCAATTCTCTTTTTCTCTAAAAGAGACCAATCGAATCGAATTGTAAACGATCACGTTTGTAACGAAGAATCTTATCTCGAGACTAGGTCCACTCCCGATGAGACCATCCTCGTTTTCTCCTCCTCGAAAACGTATCGAGAACAATTTATCAAAGAAGATAGATCGCACGCGACACGCGTTCCACGAGTGTATGATGGAAACTGAGCGATTTTTCCTAAGACTTCTTCCATTATCGCGACAAGTGGACAGAATGCTCGGGGTGTCCGTGGGCGAATGTATAGTTGAGTGTGCATTGAGAGAAACCCCATCGCATTTAAATATTCCGGATGTTTGTCATGGCATCTGCGCGATGATCACGCGTGAAAAATCTTCAAGAACGTATAACTGTAACGGTTCGTACGTTCGTTTTCCTTCGACATTGAAACAACGAATTTCGAGATCCGAATTACGCGTAAAATGATCGATCTGTTTCCTTTTATGGAAACACATCCGAGTTTGTGTGTGCGTGCGTGTGTGTGTGTGTGTGTATGTAATTTTTTTCTTCTCCCGTATAATTGGAGAAGCCAGAGAACGTTTAAAGGAGAGAATATTGAAATCAGTTCATACCTGATAAGCGCGATTTTCCAACACGTGTCGATAGTTACTTACCTTTTCGCGGGTGACGATAAACTGAACCGAAGCGTTCGATATCGCGGTATTTATGCAAGGATTGAGGATCAATTAGGTATTTCGATCAGGTCGATTTTAATGCAAATCGGAGCGGACACTTGTTGCACCCCTATACCGTTGTCGAGTGAATTTCAAGTTAAGCGGATTGTCGTCGAGTAATTTTTGTCCGAGGAATAATTGGAACAATTG